CTTAATAGGGGTAAATGGATGAGGTTTAATGTCCTATGAGATACAGTTCAGACTACATTATTTAACAATCTCTTTGGGCCGCCACCTATTTATTCAGTTTAGTCATGAGCAATATTGATGAGTTCCAGATGGAGCCAAAACTAATCATGCAAATCTGGGGCAAGGACTGGGAGTAGAACAGGAAAATTGAAGGCCTGAGAAGATGCCTTGGGACAATAATAACAAGCAAAACAATCTTTCTAATGCCCAAGGCCACATGTGAGTGGTTGATGAGTAGAAAATGGCTGCTATATTTGCCTTTAAAGTCACTGCCTGCTGCCACTCTTTAGTTCATTATTTTGTAAAGCATGTTGAAATGCCCTGAATATGAAAGGCAAATATAAAATCTAATTCTATTCTGTTCAATCCCAAATACTCATTAACATAATGAAGCAATCCAATAAAGAAAACAATAAGCCCAAAGACTGAAGAAAATAGCCCTTAAATTGTCACTTCAATTACTCTCACATCTTTCATTAAATAGATACTTACAAGTCACTGCTCTAATAACCAAAGTGTTCATTCTCTACAATTGGCCATGGTGAGCTTGAAACTGGTGGTAAACTCAGTGTCAATAATTAGAGATTTAGCAGTTTAAAAAATAAAACAAAAACACCATGTCTCTGATTTACTGCTGCAGTTGCACACATTTCAAATGACCAAACTGGCATTTCTTTATTTCTTGGGAAATGATTCTACTGCTAGCTAGAGCAGAGGTAAATTTCAGATAAATTTGGAACCAGATGAAATTTAGAAATTTGGGGTTTGGATATGAATTTATGATTTAAAAACAAACAAAAACCAATCATTGCTTGACTGTATAGTGGGACTAGCCACTATCAGAGATAGGGTACTATACCTGATGGACCATCCATGAACAGGAACCTATCCTTGCAACAAAGCCCGTTGCCAACTCTGTCCACATATTTATTCAGGGGACACCATCACAGGACCTAAGCACATCAGCCACACTATCAGGCTCGTTCACCTGCACATCTACCAATGTGATATATGCCATCATGTGTCAGCAATGCCCCTCTGCCATGTACATTGGCCAAACCGGACAGTCTCTATGCAAAAGAATAAATGGACACAAATCAGACGTCAAGAATTATAACATTCAAAAACCAGTCGGAGAACACTTCAACCTCTCTGGTCATTCGATTACAGACCTCAATGTCGCAATACTCCAACAAAAATCTTCATAAACAGACTCCGAGAAACTGCAGAATTGGAATTAATTTGCAAACTTGACACCATTAAATTAGGCTTGAAGAAAGACTGGGAGTGGATGGGTCATTACACAAAGTAAAACCTATTTCCTCATGCTAATTTTTCCCCCCTACTGTTACTCACAACTTCTTGTCAACTGTTGGAAATGGGCCATCCTGATTATTACTACAAAGGTTTTTTTTTCTCCAGCTGATAATAGCCCACCTTAACTGATTACCCTCGTTTATAGTTAGTATGGCAACACCCATTTTTTCATGTCCTCTGTGTATATATATCTTCCTACTGTATTTTCCACTGCATGCATCTGATGAAGTGGGCTTTAGCCCACGAAAGCTTATGCTCAAATAAAATTGTTAGTCTCTAACGTGCCACAAGTACTCCTCGTTCTTTTTGCTGATACAGACTAACACGGCTACCACTCTGAAATCTGTGTTGATCCAGTATGGCAATTCCTATATTCCATTATTTGTATGTCTATAAAAGAGAAAGGAATCCTGCACCTACACCGAGCCAGCTGAGGGTCAGCGCCAAAGGGCCAAATTCTCTGCAGGTGTAAATGGGCATGGTTCTATTCATTTCAATGGAATTTTGCCCATTTACACAAGCAAAGAGATTAGCCCACTTTGGCAATATCCAAAACTGGGGAAAGTTAAATGTAGATATGGGGAAAAAAGGTGAAAGGAAAAACAAAAATCAGTCCCTCAAATATCTTCTTTATGGATAAGACAAAAATGTATTTATACAGAAGAGGATGGAAAAGCAACCATAGTTCTTTGAGATGTGTCCCTATGGGTGCTCCACTTCAGGTGTGCATGAACCCCATGTGCTGACAGGAGACTTTCATTAGCAGCATCTGTTTGGCCTGGGCATGTACCCTACGCACCCTCATGCCCTATACCAAGGCTACATAAGCTATAGGGCTGCATGAGTGAATCGCCCTCAGTTCCTTCTCTACCACATTGCTTCTACCAGCATCAGCACAGAAGTAAGGATGGCAATACTGCAACCCCCCTACAATAGCCTTGCAACCCTCCCCCATGATCCCCTTTTGGGTCAGGACCACAATGGTTACATCACCGTGAAATTTAAGATTTTTTAAACTCTATAACAGTGAAATTTACCAAAATGGACCATGAATTTGGTAGGGCCTACCAATAACTTATTTTGCAATTCCTTGACCACCTTGAGTCCGACACACACTTGTTGAGGTCTTGGAGCTACTTAAAGTCATCAGCCACAGATGATGGAGGGGGTATCACTGCTTCATCAGGCGATGAGGAGAAGATAGTGGATTGAAGAATAGCCTCCTCATCCTCCCTAGCCTCTTATTCCACAAACATCTCCTTCTGCTGGGGAATTGTCTGAGGTGACAGAAAGTGAACTTCCCTCTCATCCCAGTGGGCTAGGCCCAGAGCCCTAGAAAACTGCTAACAGTAAGCAGCCCAGGGTCCCAGTATGATCATTGCGGGTGTTCATACGGCAGAGGTGGTGGCATCCAGGGTTGATCCCACCACTTGTGATGACTTGCACTGGACTCTTCCCTGTGTCTATGACCCACGTAGAAAGGGTTTGTTTAAGGATGGGTGGGGGAACCCTGTGCAGAGACTGATGAGACTGAATGGGCTGAGTGAAAGTCCCCTTTGTCATCCTCCTCAGAGCAGTGGAGGAGCCCCAACTGAAAATGGTGGTGAACTGGTTGGTGCCAATGATAAATGGGAGTCTGGGGACCAAGCTAGTCTTGGTATGCGGGATCCTTGGTGCCCATGATCTGTGAGGACTGCGGTTCCTCTGCTAAAGCTAAGTCCTTCAAGAATCAAAATTCCTGAGGCACCAAATGGGGCACCAGTACCGACGCGATAGTCTCTCTGGAAGCCAACAGTACCAATGGTTTAGAACCCTCCACGGGAGAGACTGGTGGAAGAGATGCTTCTTATCTGGCAGAATGTTTCTCCTTGTCATCCCCAGTCAGTACTGAGGCTCGCTCAGAGCCATGTTTGCTCTTGCAGCAGCTTCTTGGTTTTCCAGCCCTAGCAGTACCAGAGGAACCTGCAGCTTCCATCGTACCAGGTCTAGAGGTTGACGATTCCACGACCCGCTGACTTAGGAGACTGAGGTCTCTTGGCGCAGACTCCTTATGGGGCGAGTCACAGCCCCTCTTCTTGGGGCCTCTGAAGGTCTCCAAGGCCTCTCCCTTCTTGGGGGAGTAATGAGCCAAGGTCAAAAAGGATACTAGACCTTCCCAGAGACTGGTGTATGGGAGGGGGTCCCCCGATCTGGTTCCAATGTGGGGCGAAGGGAGCGCTCCATCATCCGAAGCCTCAATTTGATCTCCTGGTTCTTGCTGGCCCTAGATTTCTGGGATAAGCAGAAGTTACACTTCTGCAGAATGTGTGATTCTCCACAGCAGTGAATGCAGTTGGAGTGGTCATCAATCCAAGCCTCCCAGCAAGTGAGGCAATAGTTGAAGCCTAGGGAGCTGGACATACCCTCCTCAGGAGGCAAGTCTCCCTGATAGGAGAAGAAAGGAAAAGAGGCACTCCTCTCACTAAAACTAAAATCTAACTAACCAACAACTAAAAACTACTACTAAGATTAAAAAAGGATTGTAATAAGACGAGGCATGCTGGAAGCGAACAAGTATCTGAGAGCTTCATAAACATTAATGGATATATTTTCACAAAATCCCTGTGAAATGAGGGAATATTATCATTCCCACTTTACAGAGAGGGAGCTGAAGGGCAGAGAAATTAGATCAAAAGTATCCACTAATTCTGGGTGCCCAATCTAAGACATCTAGGACCTGATTTTTCTGCTTACTTAGCATTCTCTATTATTGATTTCAGTAGCAGCTGTGAGTGCTCAGCACTTCTGCAAATCAGACCCCAGAGTCTCAAGTCAGTCATCCAGAAAATGAGGAACACACACATAAGAAGCTTGGATTAAGTGACTTGACTAGCATCACATAGAAACTCTGTGGCAGAGACAGAGATAGAATCCAATTCTCCAGGGCAGCATTGAACTGACTAAGCCATGAGACCGGCCTCTCTCTTCCTGGCAATCCTATGCCTCATTCATTAGACGCCTTCCAACTTCCACAACAAGTTAAAAAAAGGTCCTATACAGCCTCCTTCACTACACAACCTTGATTCATCCCCAGAGCACATCCATTTTGTGCAGGAGCTCACAGACTATGTCTGCTCTGTGTGTCTGGTGGAATCACCTTCAAACTGGCAGCTTCAAGCCTCCTTTGCAGGCCTGGAGCAAGAAAGGGACTGAGCCTACTTTGAGCATCTGGCACCACATTTTAATCAAGTGCCTTTTCAAAAAGTCTGCACCGTGTTGGGCCTGGAAAACAAGTTAATATTCCAATATGTGGAAAGAGGACGCAGGGGCAAAATCCTGGGCCAACTAAAGTCAATGAGAGTTTTGCCACTGATTTCAGTAAGGTCAGGAATTCCCCACAGGTTGTTAGAATTCCTCTAGCATACGAGTGTAATTCTTATGCATAATTGTTAAATTTCATTTACAAGATCAGTGAAGTCAAAAAACAATTAATTATGCCAAATCTCAAATTATGTGTTTTGTTATAAACGTCACATCTACTTATTTTATATTGTATATACAAACTGCTGCCTTCCTATGAACTGTGTCACAGAGGAAGCACTACACAAATTACACATGCCCCTTATCATAATTTTAAAATTATACCAGCTTATGATTTCTCTTACTAAGAGGAGGCTGAAGTGGGTGTCCAGTTTTTGCACACCAGCCTGCGGGATGGATATCAGGGCTATCTGCATCAGTCCAATAATCATAAATACTATCCCAGCCATCAAAGTGCACCTAAAAGGAAAACAAAAACCATCAGAAAAATTCTCTATAAAGTCACTTTACCTCAACAATCTTTCAAAATGTTAGGCTTTATAATGTCAGCTTTTTTAGAGAAATAACATGAGAAAACTGTAGAAATTATACAGCAGTATAAACTAGGGCCTGGTCTACACTATGACTTTAATTCGGATTTAGCAGCGTTAAATCGAATTAACCCTGCACACGTCCACACAACGAAGCCATTTCTTTCGAAACAAAGGGCTCTTAAAATCGATTTCTGTACTCCACCCCGACGAACGGAGTAGCGCCAAAATCGATATTGTCATTTTGAATTAGGGTTAGTGTGACCACAATTCGATGGTATTGGCCTCCGGGAGCTATCCCACAGTGCACCATTGTGACCGCTCTGGACAGCAATCTGAACTCGGATGCACTGGCCAGGTAGACAGGAAAAGCCCTGCGAACATTTGAATTTTATTTCCTGTTTGCCCAGCGTGGAGAGCACAGGTGACCACAGATAGCTCATCAGCACAGGTAACCATGCAGGCCGATAATCGAAAAAGAGCACCAGCATGGACCGTACGGGAGGTATTGGATCTGATCGCTATATGGGGAGAGGATTCAGTGCTAGCAGAACTTAGTTCGAAAAGACGAAATGCCAAAACTTTTGAAAAAATCTCGAGGGCATGATGGAGAGAGTCTACAATAGGGACTCAGATCAGTGCCGCGTGAAAGTCAAGGAGCTCAGACAAGCCTATCAAAAAACAAAGGAGGCAAACGGTCGCTCCAGGTCAGAGTCGTGGACATGCCGCTTCTACGCTGAGCTGCATGCAGTTCTAGGGGGGGCTGCCACCACTACCCCACCTCTGACTGTGGATTCCGAGGCAGGGGTAATCTCATCAGCTACACCTGAGGATTCTGCGGACGAGGAGGAGGAGGACGAGCTTGCGGAGAGCACACAGCACTCCGTTCTCCCCAACAGCCAGGATCTTTTTCTCAGCCTGACTGAAGTACCCTCCCAAGCCAGTATCCAAGACCATGACCCCATGGAAGGGACCTCAGGTGAGTTTACCTTTTAAAATATAAAATTTGTTTTAAAAGCAAGCGTTTTTTAATGATTACTTTGCCCTTAGGACTTGGGATGCATTCGCAGCCAGTACAGCTACTGGAAAAGTCTATTAACGTGTCTGGGGATGGAGCGGAAATCCTCCAGGGACATCTCCATGAAGCTCTCCTGGAGGTACTCCAAAAGCCTTTCCACAAGGTTTCTGGGCAGTGCAGCCTTATTCCGTCCTCCATGGTAGGACACTTGACCATGCCATGCTAGTAGCAAGTAATCTGGTATCATTGCATGACAAAGCCTGGCAGCGTATGGTCCCGGTGTTTGCTGGCATTCAAGCAACATCCATTCTTTATCTCGCTGTGTAATCCTCAGGAGAGTGATATCGCTCATGGTAACCTGGTTGAAATACGGGAATTTAATTAAGGGGACAGAGGTGGCCATTCCTACTGGGCTGTTTGCCTGTGTCTGAAAAGAAATCCTTCCCTGCAGTTAGCCAAGCGCGGGGGGGGAGAGGAATTGGCCCTGAGCTTTTTGCGTTTGGCTAGCAGGGATCTTCCCTGATACCAGCCACGTGGTGGGGGGAGGGGTAAAGCGATCATCCCAGAGAATTCATGGCGGGGTGGGGGGTGTTAGTTTGGTTCCTGCAGGGATCTTCCCTGATACCAGCCACGCGGTGGGGGGAGGGATAAAGCGATCATCCAGAGAATTGGATGGGGGGGGGGGGTTAGTTTGTTTTCTGCTGCTGAAGGTTAACAGGAAAACCGCAGCACCCAACGGGCTTTGCTTGGTATGTGGGAAAGGAGGGCGCAGAAGCCGAAAGACAATGGCTTACCATGGCCGCATGCAAGCCGAATTCTGTTGCCCGGACCTGCGTCTGTGATCTCTAGCAGCAAAGCCACAGGCACTCAATATTAAGAGGCAAAATGCGACCTTGCACAGAAATCACATGTGCTATGTAATGTGAATAGTGTTGGTCACCGTGAAAGAATATAAGCATTGTTCTGTAAAATGTATCTTTTTAAAAAATTCTCTCCTTTTTTCCCTCCCTCCAGCAGCTGCAAGTTTTTCAAGCCTCCCTCCTCCGTCCCGAAGGCTATCTCAGATAAGGCGTCGGAAAAAGAAGACGCGAGACGAGATGTTCACAGAAATCATGGAATCCACCTGCAGTGAAAGAGCTCATCTGAATGAGTGGAAGGACACGGTTGCAAAGTATAGGAAAGATGCCAGTGAAAGTGAGGACAGGAGGGACCAACGTGAGGACATGAGGGACCAACGTGAGGACAGGAGGGACGCTCGAGATGAGAGGTGGCGGCAGGAAGATCAGAGGAGAGAGGATGCAACGCTGGGGCTGCTGCGTGAGCAAACAGACATGCTCTGGCGTCTGGTGGAGCTTCAGGAACGGCAGCAGGATAACAGAGTGCCGCTACAGCCCCTGTATAACCCCCCTCCCCCCTCCCCATGTTCCATAGCCTCCTCACCCAGACGTGTAAGAACGCGGGGGGGGGGGGGGGGGAGGCTCCGTACACCCTCCCATTCCACCCCAGTGGACAGCCCAAGCAAAAGGCTGTCATTTTTTTAACCTTTTTTTAGTGGCCTTTTCCTTCCCGCCGATCCTCCTCCCAAACCCCACCCGGGTTCTCACCCTCTTTTTATAATCAATTAATAAAGAATACATGATTTTTAAACGATAGTGACTTTATTTCCTTTGAAAGCAAGCTGGGGGAAGGGGGAGGGTGGGTTCCTTACAGAGAATGAGTCAATAAAGGGGGCGGGTTTTCATGAAGGAGAAACAAACAGAAATTTCACACTGTAGCCTGGCCAGTCATGAAACTGCTTTTCAAAGCTTCTCTGATGCGCAGCGCTTCCTGGTGTGCTCTTCTAATCGCCCTGGTGTCTGGCTGCGCATAATCAGCAGCCAGGTGATTTGCCTCAGCCTCCCACCCCGCCATAAAGGTCTCCCCCTTACTTTCACAGAGATTGTGGAGCACACAGCAAGCAGAAATAACAATGGGGAGATTGGTTTGGCTGAGGTCTGAGCGAGTCAGTAACGATCGCCAGCAACCTTTTAAATGGCCAAATGCACATTCTACCACCATTCTGCACTTGCTCAGCCTGTAGTTGAACAGCTCCTGACTCCTGTCCAGGCTTCCTGTGTATGGCTTCATGAGCCATGGCATTAAGGGGTAGGCTGGGTCCCCAAGAATAACTATTGGCATTTCAACATCCCCAACGGTTATTTTCTGGTCCGGGAAGTAAGTCCCTTGCTGCAGCCGTTTAAACAGAGTAGTGTTCCTGAAGACGCGAGCGTCATGAACCCTTCCCGGCCAGCCCACGTTGATGTTGGTGAAATGTCCCTTGTGATCCACAAGTGCTTGCAGCACCATTGAAAAGTACCCCTTGCGGTTTATGTACTGGGTACCCTGGTGCTCCGGTGCCAAGATAGGGATATGGGTTCCATCTATCGCCCCACCACAGTTAGGGAATCCCATTGCAGCAAAGCCATCCACTATGACCTGCACATTTCCCAGAGTCACTACCTTTCGTAGCAGCACCTCAGTGATTGCTTTGGCTACTTGCATCACAGCAGCCCCCACAGTAGATTTGCCCACTCCAAATTGATTCCCGACTGACCGGTAGCTGACTGGCGTTGCAAGCTTCCACAGGGCTATCGTCACTCGCTTCTCAACTGTGAGGGCTGCTCTCATCTTGGTATTCTGGCGCTTGAGGGCAGGGGACAGCAAGTCACAAAGTTCCATGAAAGTGCCCTTACGCATGCGAAAGTTTCGCAGCCACTGGGAATCGTCCCACACCTGAAACACTATGCGGTCCCACCAGTCTGTGCTTGTTTCCCGGGCCCAGAATCGGCGTTCCACGGATAGAACCTGCCCCATTAACATGATCTCCAAAGCACCGGGGCCCGTGGTTTGAGAGAATTCTGTGTCCATGTCCTCATCACTCTTGTCGCTGCGCTGCGGTCGCCGCCTCCTCCTCGCCTCATTTTTCTGGTCCTGGTTCAGCATAAACTGCACAAGAACGCGCGAGGTGTTTACAATGTTCATGACTGCTGTCTTGAGCTGAGCGGGCTCCATGCTTGCCGTGGTATGGAGTCTGCAGTGTTCACCCAGGAAAAAAGGCGCGAAATGGTTGTCTGCCGTTGCTTTCATGGAGGGAGGGGTGAGGCCGTACCCACAACCACCTGCAACAATGTTTTTTGCCCCATTAGGCACTGGGATCTCAACCCAGAATTCCAATGGGCGGGGGAGACTGCGGGAACTATGGGATAACTACCCACAGTGCAACGCTCCGGAAATCGACGCTAGCCCCGGTACATGGACGCACACCGCCGAATTAATGTGCTTAGTGTGGCCGCATACATTCGACTTTATACAATCTGTTTCCAAAATTCGAATTCTGTAAATTTGGATTAATCAGTAGTGTAGACATAGACTAATGCCCAAAATCTAGGGTGTTTCCACTGAAGGGAAAGGAAGTTTGTTGTCTACTTCAGTGGGAGTAGAATGGGTCTGTGTGTGTGTGTTACATTGTCAGGCTCAAAACATATGAGTACATTTAGACAGTTATAATGTTTATATATATACACTAACACTTTAAATTAAGGGCCAAATTCTGTCCTTTCTCTCAAAAAGGGCTCTAAACATTTAGAACAATCAAATTCCTATTTTAACCAGGAGTTAAAACAATACATAGACTTTGTAAAGGGCCTCTGCAGAAGGATGAATTTCACCACCCCCCAAAACAAAGGGATCTACAGCTCTTGTAAAATTTGACTATTCAGGGTAAGGAATTAAATCAGATGAGAGACCGAACTGCATGATTCTGTAGAAGACAATCACTGATTTTCTTCAGGTTGGGACCAAAGATCTGCAACCCTAACTAACTTACTTAAATTAGTGTACTAATAAAGACCTCGGATCTTTATTTCTTATGATCTTATTTATAAAAAGTACATACAAGGCTATTTCAATATACAATATAAAGTTAATTAAACTGCAAGGATCACAAATATTGACATTTTAATATATTAGACTGGAAAATTTTTTTGACAGGACCAAACGAATGTGTAGTTTATGCAGAAAATGTGTAGGTGTGCAGATATTACTTTTGATGACTTCACACCCTTTGTTAATTTGGATTCAAAATGAAATGTCAATTGCATTTGCTGCTTGAAATACCATGTATGCATAATACCTCTCTGCACACTGCAGAAAGAAATATCCTTCATATTCATTTAGCTAGCATTCCAGAAAATGCTAGTTAATGGTTAAAAGACTCAATAAGTAAAATGATTTATAAATCAAAGCAAAAAATAACCCAGACATGCAAGTCTTCTGAAAAAAACAGCAAATCCTTTAGCAAACGTCACTTGAAATTAATCCAATCAAAAGTCCAGAATTAATATAAGTTTCTACACCGCAGAAGCTCCTGACAGGGAGCAAGGAAATCTTTATTTATGTATTCATTCATTCTTTTTAGATTTGCCCTGTCTCACTTTGGCTTTTGCATGGTGGAAATTATAGAGAAAGATTTCATTAATCTATTCCAAATATTTTATGAGCCCTAATACAAAAATCACAGCAATCTTTTGATATTGGGTATTATTAAGTCATCAACATTCTTTTATAAAACAACTTTTATCTCAACTATTCCCAATGCAATTTCCCAACACACTCATCCTTTATTCCTTAGCTTCTATTTCAGCACATCACTGACTACAAAAATAATAGAGATACCCCTTCCAAAGAAATTACTTGTGTATTAATCAGTGAGGAGGATGAGAGTCAGTTTAGCAGTGCATCGATGTGATTCATATCTTCCTGTGCAAACTAGCAAGGTCCTTCATATTGGAACTGCAGTATTTATTTTACAAAACAACAGTCAACATGCTCTAAGCAGGACCTCCAATTTAGAGAAAGAAAGAGAGAGACTGACTTACTTTTATCCTGTGGTCATCAATATCTACAACAGTTGCTACTCTGATAAGTACTGGATTCCTCTTGTCAACTACCTCAAGTTTCATATTTTTCTGAAATCCATGAGATGGTTTCTACAATGAGAGATGATGGGTATTTTAATGAAATGTAAAAAAACTGTTATAAAATATAAGGGCAATCATTCCCCTCCAAAATAAACCAAACCAAAACATAAAAACTGTTGTATTAAAATAACTTAGACTAGAAAAATAATTTACCTCTCTAGGATTTTAGTCTCATCACTTCAGCCTCCTACGTAAATAAAATCATCACTAATGCTGTAAGTTTCCCCTAAGCACTCTATAAATGTTTTAAGAGCATTTCCACCTCTATGCAACAGCATATTGCACAATAATTCTACATATTGTATCGCCTTACACTCATACACTTTCATCCTAGATCAAATGGCACTTTAAATTATGATTACATTTACAAGTTTTCCACAGAGGTCACAGTGTGACCCAAGGGCCCCTGGAGGCCAACTAACGGATAGCACAGGGATGCATAAGAGTTACAGGAATCCCCTGGGTCTGGTATTTATATAATAGTTCATCAAAGAGTGTCACAAAGTCTCTACTGAAAGCCTGTGTCACGATGGTCAACATCATCTTTGAAAAATGGATGTGCAGGTAGCATGTAAGGAGACACGTTTATAATATTAGAAATTATGTTCTTCAAGTTAAAGGCAGGTTTCACCAGACAGGTTGTGGGAGACATGTATCTCCCTGCCATTGCGTAACTTACAATGCAAGTCTATCTGCATACGGAGTCAAATGCTAACAAAGTGTTTGTGGGGACATCAGGAGAAGAAAATTATCAGGAAGAGGTGAACAGTGGTGGGGTGGGGGAGCCCCAGTTTACAGGAGAAGGAGAAAGGACAGGTCTAATACATCAAGGGATTCAGTGAGATGCTCTGGCATTCTTGGTCTTATGAAAGCCATCCTGGTTGAAAAATGCTGTGAGGAGGACTTTGGGTAACCAGTTCCTTATTAGACAAGAGGGCATCTTGTTAGGTAAGTTTAGGCTCTAGACTGTGTGTTATGGTTTTATTTTATATGTAATCCTTTGTTTACATTAATTTTACTTGCTTTTTGTCAAATCTCTATTCTTTGATAAATAAACTTAAGCTTGTTTTCACTATAAACATATCTAAGCACTGTGTTAAGTGGAGTGGTGATCCAGAGGTAAAACTGACAAGTTGATGCATACTATATCGTCGGGACTAGCACATCTGTGAATTCTGAGTGTGTCCAGTGGAACAGGGGCTGGACTGCTGGACTCTCCAGGGCAGGCCTGCTGACAGCAGTTCTGAGCCCCAGGGTGGAACAGTCAGTGGGCACTCTTCAGGCACGACCAGCGCTTCCACATGCCCGCCCAGCTGCCTTCACCGCCGCTGGTACCACCCTGCACACACCTAGGAGCCCTGCAGCCCGCCCGGGCAATTTAAAAGGGCCCGGGGGCCCCCAGCTGCCTTTGTGGTAGCGGCGGCAGCAGCTGGGGGGCCCCGGGCCCTTTTAAATCGCCCAGACCCCTGGGCAATTGCCCCTTTTGCCCCCCTCGTCAGCATGCATGCTCCTGGGGCATGCTTGGAGAATACTGATCACTAAACTGAAAACTGACGGCAGTGCCTGCGTGGACTGAGAAGGGAGTACTTGTGTTGCCTGTGGCAAGTGGAGTTGGGGAGCTGACCCCTGGCAGGCACAGACAAGGCTTCTTCATGCAGGTAACAGCAAGGTGCCTCACAACCCTGGGTATCCCAAGGAAGCATCACACATGGTAATTGTGAATCTGAATAGTCAGTGCTGAGCCCACCTTGAAGTGGTACCTCGTGTCCCATGGGGCTTGCCCTTGGCTCCATAGGTGCTAGAGACAGTGGAGGCCAGAAGGCCATAGCCCTCCCCACTTTTTAAACAGGGAATTCAGGGCACCCTACTTTTTAAAACCTGGCTGGACGAGCACGCTATGGCCCAGGCCAGCTGGCCGGCATCCGGGTCCTGCTCTGCATTATGCCACGTGCTGGCTGTGACCCATTGTGTCACAGTAAATGCCAGCAGCCAGGCCCTCACCTACCAGCTGCCAAAACCCCAGAGGTAGTCCCTCTCTGTAGCGGGGATCAACTGAGTCTGGGAAGCAGAAAGGACCCATTACCTGAAGGCCTTGGGCTTGCCAGCGGGAGAGTAAGGTAAGGAGAGGGGGGGAGGCAGAGTGTTAGACTGTTGGGGGTAGGTGAAAAGGCAGGGGCTCCAGGAGGGTCGGATTGCTGTGAGGGGGTTCTCTCGAGGGCTCTGGGGGGAGGGCCTGGGCTCCCCACTTTTGCAGTCCTTTTGGCACCCATGCCTGGGTCCACTCTGGGCATTGTAAGGTGGTGCATGTGGTCACAGTGCCACACAGGTTTGGCACATCTGCCCCTCTATAGATGGAAATGGAAGGGTGGATGCGTCAAATGTGAGTGGTGCTGTAACCATGAACATTAGGTCATAGCACCCAAACTGGAGAGCCAGGCCAGCCCCACGAGACAGGAGCCACTGCTGCAGGGTGAGTGCAGGATATACTCACTAACCAAACCTCTCCCCTGCTCCATGCTGGGCCTCATCTTTCCACAACCGCACTACAGAATCCACTCTTATTCTGCCCCCCCCTCCAAAAAAGAAGGCGGCAGGGCAGGGATGGACGAGGAGGGGGGAGGTTAGAAGATGTGTTACTACCTGGAACTTCTCATGGTCACCAACCCCACGGCCATGAGTTAGGACTCCCCTCCACACAACAAATGCATGCACCATATCACTTGGCTTGGCTATTCTGGATGAAAACTCAGGATTTGGCCATGCTTGATAAAGTTTTGTAGTGAAAAGTGTTGTAAGCCAGTAACCAAACCTCAGTGAACTACAGCAGATGGCTGGAATTCTGGGCTAGCACCACATTTCTGCTTTAGTTTAATGAATTTCTTAGCAACGTGATAATATTCAAAAATGTTGGACTTGAACCTCAGAAGCTCACAAAAACAGACAGGTCAGCCTAGGGAGCCAAGAATTTGATCTCTAATGTTGGCTCCAATAATGATGCCTTCTGCTTTCTTGAATAAGCCACTTTTCTTTTTGTGCCTGTAAAGTGGGGACAATAATACTCTCACCTCTCTCCGAGGTGTGCTGGGAGCAGGGCTTTGGAGCGAAGCCCGGAGCTAGAGCGCGGAGCAGCGGAGCTGCAGGTTTTTGCCTGGAGCTGGTGCGGAGTGGGAGCACAGCTCCAAAGCCCTGGCTGGGAGGACTCATTAGCTAGCTAAGTATTATTAATATAAATTAGTCAAAAGTCTCAGGATTTATAATTTTTTTCTGATTTCTCACAGTAATTTCAAAACTCACATAAAAAAATAAAATATCTACTGTACATTAGCTAATTAATTAAACAAAAAAAATGGAAGCATGAACACTATGTAAACATTCTCTCACCACTTTAAAAGCCCTTGCAGGTGCAGGTAAAGAACTGGTTTCTTCCAAATATTTTTCCCAAGAAAAATGTTTGGCATGTGGATAATCTAGTAGAAAAAATATAAAAGCAAGGTTTAATGATGTCATATAAGAATTATGATGTAACATACATTATAGCACATTAATGTAGAGAATTCATAATAAGGCAAGTAAATATTTGTTATAATACTTTATTTATTCTTTAAATATATAACATAACTACAATAAGAAGCACTTATCTGAACATTCTAGATGTCTATGACACATACTCCCTATTAATCAAAGAAAGAAATAGAAACCCCACAACACACATTACTGAGTAACCAGCAGCACAAAAATAAACTACAACTGCTCTGGATTTGAGAAGATAAGTAACAAAAATTGGAAATCTATCCACTTCTATGCATTCAAGACAATGCTTCACCCTTAATCCGGTATTCTACAGGTTTAAGGTTACTGTGCCAATACACCTCTACCCCAATATAACGCTGTTCTCGGGAGTGAAAAAATCTTACCGCGTTATAGGTGAAACCGCGTTATATCGAACTTGCTTTGATCCGCTGGAGTGCGCAGCCCTGCCCCCCCCGGAGCACTGCTTTACCGCGTTATATCCAAATTCGTGTTATATCGGGTCGCGTTATATCGGGGTAGAGGTATACTAATCAGAACCTGATAGTCATGTATCAGTTTAAAATACATGTGACCATCTACCAACTTGCATTTTTAAGTGAAGTTGTTTTAACCAAAACTATTATAATACTTTCTAAATTGAGGATATATCTGATACAGACATCATGGGGGGCGGGGGGTGGACTGTCATTCTAAGAAAATGGACTTGAGATTGTCCTGTTTAATATGCCTTATACCAAAAAAGTGTTTTCTTTTAAAGAACAAGGAGTGCTTGCCCCGATGTTGTATAAGCACTAAATATTTAAGTGTTGATTCATGATATGGAAGTGAATTTACACCAGTATCTTGTGTTTTATGAAGGCTGCTAAATAATAGGTTTCAGAGTAGCAGCCGTGTTAGTCTGTATCCGCAAAAAGAACAGGAGTACTTGTGGCACCTTAGAGACTAACAAATTTATTAGAGCATAAGCTTTCGTGGGCTACAACCCACTTGTAATTAACTTATTGACAGATTAGACTTTTACAGTACACATTGAGGTTGTTCTGTAAGTAGCTTTTGTGCTCTAGAATTTGATGCCTCAAAATGTTTCATGACTTCCCCAGGCTAGTGAGCAGTAGGATATTTCTGAGCTTGGTAAGTAAGTCTAGCTGGCTAATTACAGTTTTCCATGTTGTCAGGCCACAGATGCCTGTGATCTGTGCTTTCATTATCCTGCATGGCAGCAAAGCTTATTCCCTTAACTTCAAATCCTCTATGTTCAACACCAAATGAATGCAGAATTGGCCAATATACCTTTTATTTTACTATTCTGTCATACACAGATTTTTTTGTTTTTAAACAAATTACATAAAAGCTTTTGCAATGGTACCATATTAGTGACATTCAAAAAGGGTTTCTAAACAAGGAATTTCTATTTTCTCACTACAAATCTATGAAATAACAGTGCACGGGGGTGGGAGAATTGGGGAGCAAAAACTTGAATTTTCTGAGTAAAGATATGTAAGTCACAAACCATCTTCACAGGGAAAAGCATGGTATTTGTAATGAGGTCCTACATAGTCACATAGTTGGTGCAGCAGTTCATGTTCTGCAAAAATGACTTCCTTTCACTGAAACTCTCCTACAGGGTGCATGAAAAACACGCTGGATATCTCTCACCACAGTTCCCTGATTTCATTTTATTTAAAGAAACACTGCTCTGATTCCTGCAACGTTCCCACGCATCGAAAATATAGACCTCCTCCAACTTGCTGATGGCCTCCTAAGTGTGGGCTGAACTTTCCTTCCTGTATATGACATGAAAGTAAATGTACTCTCCGAAATTGCCACACGTGTCTCTTGGTGCAGTTAAACACTAATGTTATATCTGTGGCTCCTTCTAGGTTGAGTTCTATTTTTATGAACAATATTCAGCAGGCTCCCTCAACTCTGGATTTCTGTTTCTGAACACACAATGATCCCTGAGTGCCTCTCTTAGATGCCAACCAAAATGACAGCTGTCTAAGATAAGCCACGAAATCAAATAGGTTTTCCTATTTTCTTTTTCTTTTGGTTTCTTAAGTGAATCTCAGACCTTTTAGCTAGGAATTTAGTTTGGAGAACATATTGCTTTTTAAATAATTCAGCCAAGTCCTCATAGTTCATACCTCTCAGCTCCTAAAAGGAACAAGTTTTTGAAGACTACAAATGTCTCTCTTTCCAAACAGAGATGAAGAATGGAAATTTTTATTGAGATTCTTCAACGGCATCAGCATAGAAATACTGCTGAGACCTTTGTACATAAAATTCGTACATAGCATTAAATCCTACATATTTTTCATCAGAGTGGATTCGTCAATTTTCCCACAAATTATCATTTTCCTCTTTTCTTCTCAGACAGACCTCTTGCCTCACTCCTGACATGGCAATCACCTTGTTGTTTCCCCAAATCCAATAAGTCTTTCATTAGATCAGACTTTAATTGGATCAGAATAAGAGCAAACAAACAACAAAAAATGAACCGAGCTAGCACTCAGAGGTTTCCTTGGTTACAAGCTACATTCAGCTAACTTCATTCTTGGGTTCTGTATCCAAAGGAGCTCTAACCAGTGGCAATTATTGCTAAAAGACAAGATTTGTTTTTAAACTCTGGCACACAGACTGTTCCAGACCTTAAAGGGGCAGTAACCACACACAGTCACCATAGTTGTCTAAGTTTTACTTTAACAGACAGAATAACTGACTCTAAATGGCATACGTTCTACAGGAAAGAAATCTCCAAGTTTTTTCCATTGATTCTCTCATGGTTATTTTTATACTGAGTATTCTACAATTACCTACATAAATTTGGAAAACCAAACAGGCACTAGAGACCTGTCTTAAAGGAATTTATTAACTTTGCTAAACAGCACTTTTTTTTACAAGATATAGCTCAAGCTACTTTCTACAGAATAGTCTTCATGATCTCCAGCATGGAGGGGAATCCAGTTAATCCAACACATAATATCCCAAACTAAATGCTTGCTTTCTTGTTTTCAGTAAGCACGCCCTCTCTCTCTATTGCATGCTCATTCTCACCTTGGTTTCCTCCCTTTCTGAGAGTCCTTATCACTTTTGTTCCCTTGATTACACAGGACTATCCACCCATTTATCCACTAGGGCCTTGGCTACACTCAGGACTTCCCAGCGCTGCCGCAGCGCTGTAAGTACTCCACCTCTCCGAGGGGAATAGCTTGCAGCGCTGCGAGCGAGCGTGCAGCGCTGCAGGCTCTGATTACACTGGTGCTTTACAGCGCTGTACTCGCTGCGCTGGGGGGGGGGGGCGGCGTTTTTACACCCCTGAGCGCAGCAAGTTGCAGCGCTGTACAGCGCCAGTGTAGCCAAGGCCTAAGTCCCAGATTTTTAAAGGTATTTTGGCATAGCTGTGCTCATCTCAGTTGATATAAGAGCCTGAAATCTCATTTTCCAAAAGGATTTAGGTACTTGATATATTAATGTTAACGATGCATGCACAAATTTAGTATCTTTATGTGCTGTATTAATGAGACAGTTATCCATCAAGATATTTGGAGATGGTTGAAAAGGAAAACACAATAAAACAAATCACTTGGTTCCTTCTCTATTTCTTTTCTCTATGGAGTTCTCTTTTGCTTTGCTTTTATCTACATTTTTTCCCCTCCTTATTTCTTTTTGTGTGATAAACTGAATTTACTTACAGGTTCTGAAGTCTTGGTGCTGAAAATTGTGAGAGATATTGCAATGACATGCAATATCTTTGGGGACTATATTGTATTAAATGTATACAATGGTTTATGTAGGATTGTATTCTACTCCAAGGGAAAGGAATACCACAGCTCCTAAAGGAACTAAAAACAATGACAAGTGATTAAGGTTAATCACAGAGACTAAACTATTTAGAGAGTTACCTCCCCCTGGAGTAGTTTGCATACTGGTTCAAGCTGGATTTTCCAGAGGCTAGTAGACAAAGAAAGGACTTTTGGTATAAAAGGTCTTCCTGCTGATCCAGCAAACAGACAGGACTTTCTGTCCAGGGGGCATGTGGAAGGGTTGGAAGGATTTTGACCTACTAGAGCCCCATATGACTGATGGGTGACCTATGGTAAACTTTTAGCATGCATATAGGAACTTCTATTGTTTTTATGTTTTCCTTGTAATGCTTTTACCTTAAGAATAAATGTGCTTGCTTAGAAAGAACAGTGGTAATGTCACCAAGTCCTCGGTGGGATTAGGTGGCCCAGTGGTTAGCACACATAGTGCTACCTCCCTGAGGGCAGGTCTTGCAGTCAAGACCCCCTTTTAATCAGAGGTGTGGTGAGGTGGGCAGTGAGGGGAGCCCAGGCCCACCCACTCCACCAGGCTTCGACCCAGGACCCTAGGAGGGTCAACAGTGTTTGGCCCTCAAAGGTGCCCTCTGAGTTATGTCCCCGGATCACTTCCTATTGTCTGCTGTTCTCTCTTTCCCCCCTGCTACCCTCCAGCTTCCAGTTGAAATACAAGGTGACAAGCAAAAGAAAAGGCAATCAAACCTTAAAACCAACTGGGCTCAGCATACAGTCTTAGTCCCTTGTGGAGACTTCTCTGGCACCTTTGTTAGGAGCCTTTCGGGTAACCTCTCTGTCCTCCTTCCCAGCCTCCCTCTTTCTGAGCTGGACTGCTCCCCTTTCCACCCTTCCTCCAGCTGGAGCGTGCTCTACAGGGCTGGTGCTATCTGGGCCCAGTACTGCCCTTTAACCCCTTCCAGCCAAGTGTGGGATTTGTATACTCCATTACCAGTAACTAGTTACTTCTTGCAATACACTGTTTATAGCCCGTGGAGAGAAAGCAAAGCACAGGTGCTGGCCTCTAGGCAGTGTAAAGTGGGGAGCTGTACAGCCCTAAAAACTCCTGGTTGAAGGGAGTGGGACAAGGGTCTCTATTCAGTGACAGGCGATGGCTGCAAACTTGAGATCTGACTGGGAACTCCGGGAGTGGACCACAAAAGGGGTAGGAGGGAGATATGGGTGCAGTTACCTGAAACGGTGACAAAAATGGCAACAGCAAATATGCCAGGTGTACAGAGTTGTTGCATTAGACAAATATCTGCATGTGAACCAAATTTGGATGTTAGACCCTTCCACATGGGTTGCCCTCTACTGGACAGAAAGTCTGTCTGGTTGCTGGATCAGAAGGAAGACCTTGTGTAAATTCAAGCTCATTCTTTTATACCAAAAGTCCGTTGTTTGTCTCTTAGTCTCTGGAAAACCCAGCTTGAAGCAGTATGCAAACTGCTAGCGGGGCGGGGGTGGGGAAGGAGGTGTAACTCTCTAGATAGTTAAGTCTCAGGTGATCCACCTTAATCACTTGCCATTGTTTTTAGTTACTGGAGCTGTGGTAATCCTTCCCCTTGGAGTAGAATACAATCATACATAAACCATTTTATACATTGAATACAATATAGTCCCCAAAGATATTACATGTCATTGCAATATCTCTCACAATTTTCAGCACCAAGACTTTGGAACCTGTGAATAAATTCAACCTATCACACAAAGAAACAAGGAGAAAAAAATCTAGAGAAAAAGCAAAGCAAAAGAGAACATCAGAGAGAAAAAGTAGTAAAGAGGTAGCCAGGCTATTTGTCTCATTCTGTTTCACTTTTCAACCATCTCTAGGCTTTTTCCTGAGAATATCTTGTATGGATAACTGTCTCATTAATACAGCACAGAAAGATATCAAAGTTGTGCATGCATCATTAAATTTAATGTATCGAGTGCCTGTAAAAAGACCACTTCAGCCCCCTCCAAATACCAATTCTTAATTATAAGTTGAGTCTTTCAATGAAGTTGTCATAATGTGTGTTATGAGCCTTGGCCAATGCTGCTGCTAGCTACATTTTCCTTAATTCTTTCAATTGTGTAGTGTTGAAGTGTAGTACAAACCTGGAGGGGTGATGAGAGTTCTTCTATGTTCTTTACACCATCCAATGGGATGAATGTGTGGGCTAGCTGCCTCACACCTGGAGGGGAAAAAATGATTGAAAAATGCATTCATCATTGTTGTCTGGGCATGCACACACGTTTTTTCCCCCTCTAAAAATGCAGAATTATTTAACAAATCCAAAATAAATTATGATGGATTCAACTCAAAATATAAATTTTAACCGTAACAAAAACATACCAATATACTTCATTCAATCTTACCCCATATGAGAGAGTATAAGATCTTTGCAACACTTCTGAAAAGTCAATAACCCAATTATACTGGACCAATAAGGACAGCAAATTCCAAGGAAAACTCCTCCACTGAGGAGCCCCCCCCCCCCAACCAGTTCCCACACAGTCAAATCTTGAGATTCTTAGCACAAACATGTCAGCTGATCTCAAGCATCCCAGTAATGCATTCAGAAAGAATAGGGGTCTTGTGAGGTCACTCTGAGGGGTTCAGAGTGTGAGAGGGGGTACGGACTCTGGGCTGTGGGTGTGGACTCCGGGCTGGGGCCAGAAATGACAGGTTTGGGGTGCGGGAGGGGGCTCTGGGCTGGGGCAGGGAGTTGATGTGCAGGGAGAAAGTGAGTGCTCCAGCTGGGACTGAGGGGCTTGGGGGAGCAGGAGAGGGATCTGGGCTGGGGTCGAAGGGTTTGGAGTGTGGGAGGGGGCTCAGGGCTGGGGTTTGCAGGCTCTGGGAGGGAGTTTGGGAACGGAAGGGGGTTCCGACCTGGGGCAGGGGGTTGGGGCGCAGGAGGGGGCTTGGGGTGCCCGCTCCGGGCAGTGCTGACCTCAGGCGGCTCCCAGGAAGCAGTCGGCATGTCGCTCCGGCTCCTAGGCAGAGGGGTGGCTGGGAGCTCTATGTGCTGCTCCCACCCGCTAGAGCCACCCCCACAGCTCCCACTGGCCACGGTTCCTGACCAATGGGAGCTGCGGAGCCAGTGCTGGGGGTGGCGCATGGAGTTCTCTAGGAGCTGGAGGGACAGGCCGACCACTTCCTGGGAGCTGCGCGGAGCCGGGCACAGAGCCTGACTACCCCACTGGCACTGCAGCCAACCAGACTTAGTGGCCTGGTCAGCTGTGCTGACCGGAGCCGTCGTGGTCCCTTTTCAACAGGGCATTCCGGTTGAAAACCAGATGCCTGGCAACCCTAGTCTGCCCATGTGGATCATATTGCAAGGTTGAGGTCTATATGATAATATCTATTTTCCTTCACTTGGTTAGGAAGTCTGGAAAGTGCCAGCATCCTACGGGTTAATATTTCTCTCTCTCTCTCTCCATATATGAATAGCAAGGTAAGTAAAAAAAAAAATCAGTTTGTTATTCTATAATATCCAACATTCTTATCTCCTATGGAACACAGAGGGGTTTCGCTGTTATTATCATAGGGAGGAGGATTTCTGCATGAGTTGAAGGTATATCAGATTACCAAACCCTGATGTCTAAACATGTCAGATCTCTTACCATATTGCCTAATTCCTCATTTCCTCCACACAGAAACCACTTATTGATTTCAATGGGGAATTGAGCACATAAAAGAACACAGGACTGAACCACTGACTATATTATGATAACGACATTGACTTTGAGCTTGTGCTGCATAAAGCAAAAGTAAAGAAATATTTTCATATTCAGAATTTAAAGAAAAGACCTTAAAGTACACTGATGTTGTAAAAGTGATTTTACATGACAAATAGATGAAGTCCAGTGTAGGTGTATTTAATTGTGTGCGTTAAATAATAGAAATGCAAGCAGGGTGTCTCATTACTGTCATCACACAGCAAGTACTGTTCCAGACTTCTACTTATAGATTTCAGACCTAATGCTGAAATACCTCTCTAGGGTAATTATTTTTTGATCAATTTTTTTTTTTTTTTTACAAAATAAAAATGAACAGCTGCACCAGTATTCCTCTATGCTAAGTTCAAATATATCAAGCCTTAGAGGAAAAAATACTCTCTAGAAACAAAGGCTTTATGACAACAGCAAAGGATGCAATCGATATCAAGTGTACCAACATTTTGTCCTTTACAAAAAAATTTACAAATATGCTTTATGTATTTAAGTTTATTATTTATACAGCACTTTATTTATTTCACTTTAAAATTGCCCTGGTTTTTGATTTTGAAAATATGGTACTTTTGTGTCAACACTTTTTAGGGTTGTTAAGTTCCCAAAGGTTCATATTCTATCTCCGTTAGTTGGTCTTTTACACCTGAGTCAGAAAAGCTCCTGGAGCAGATCAAAGAAAGGCAGAGATATGCCTCTTTCAAATGAATCTCTTTCTTATGCCTCTTTCAAATGCATCTCTCTCTCTCACACACACACACACACACACACACACACACACACACACACACACTTCCCTTCTCTCTACAGAGACTTCAGAGAGGAGAGAAGTAAAGAACAGAAGGACTAACAGGTATTCGCTCTCCCAAATCCATCAAGGGGCTGGGGAAGGGGGGTTTGCACAGACTGAGCCATTACCTCATTGGACTCATTGCATTGATGCTGCCTGAAGAGCTTTGGAGTAAAATATTCAAAAGCACATAAGCTACTTAAGAGCTTTCACTTTCCACTTTAAAAAGACTCCTAAGCATCTAAGTCACTTCTGATACCGAGACATAGTCACTTTATTACTGTATGATGAGAGTAAAACAAGTGTGAGAAAAATGGTCAGTTTTTTAAAAGTACCCTATTACCATTGCCTCTGAGCACCTTACTGTCATTTTAAAAAATGAGAAATAGAGACTAATAAAATGGCCAACTTTTATCTTAAGTAGGACATACAGCATTCTTTCATAAATAATCATCTCTCTTCTAGACAGACAGCTGTGGTCTAGTAGACTAAGCACATAACTTGAAGTCACGAATGCTAGATTCTATTCTAAATTTTGTCACTCAGGCCAGTCATTTAGAGTTTAAGGCCAAAAGAAACCACCAGATTATCTACTCTGACCTCCTGTAAATCACAGGCCAACCAATACCACCCAACACATTAAACTCTCCACCCAAAATACAGCCCACAAGAGAGTAGACTATTGAGTGCCACAGGCACAGAACAGGAGGGACCAAGGTACACCAGTGCCTCAGGCCCTCACAGTGGCTAAGCGAGATATACAGAGATTATCCTGATAAGTGACCCTCACCCACAACTGCAGAGGAAGGCAAAAAAAAAAAAAAAAACCCAAGTCGCAGCCAATCTGACCCGGGAAAATTTTTTTTCCCAACCCCTCAGCTTTGTAAAACACTTAATCTAGAAGCACTATGCAAAAGCAATGGGAAGGTTAGTAACTAGTAATATGAGCTTGAGTACATTGCCTCTGTAAATCCACTGTCTTGAACTGTAGTGTGGCAAGCATGGAATCTTTCGTAAAGCAGTGCAGTTGTGGCACGTACACGCCCAAATAACAGATCCTAAAGTTCAGAACAAGATTATAAAGGTCATACAAATCATATCATGTAAAACCTGTCTCTGCTAGTGCCAGTCCCAGTGTTCATAACCAAAAAGGCACCTGGATACCCCCCCTCACAGTAAATAATGTTGAGCCAAGAAGCCACTAACAAGAGCCAAAACCATCACTGAAAGCCAGTTGGATCTATAATAGAACAACAAGAACAGAGAACAAACCACAATGTTGTTTCTTATTTTTATAAAATCTAACAATTTTAAAATGTGGCTAAACAGAACAAAAATGCAAAAAGTAAATAAATGGAGAGGTGGCTTCACTGCCAGCAGTTTATCATGTTAAAGAAAAAGCTGAAGGTGGTTGGGACTCTGAATCCCTTTATAGACTATTTTCAAACGTCTGGATCCATATGGGAACATGCAGATATCCAAACTTTCCATATGGGGGCAAGCGAAGATATGCTCATGACAACAGGTCATGCACATTCTCAAGAACAGGGCACTACAGGCACAACTCTGGAGGAAGAAATATTATTTCTTCTATCATTCATATTAATTTTCCCTTTGATTTTTGTCCTGCATTTCACTGTTGCATATCCACAGCTCAATAATTAAATTCTGATTGTAAGAGGCAGAAACTAAATCATTGTTAATTCTTTCCAGAAAAAAATATTAAATAAAAATGTGTCTTCACTGGGAGGTATGGATAGCACTGTTTTATTTTATAACTGACCCATTTTTTTAAAAAATATGCTAAATGTGTTACATTATTTTTGCTGTTCTGAATTAACTGCCAATTTCCCCACTGGATAAAATTTTATTTTGATATTTAGGATTTGCGCCAGAAAAACTAGTATTAAATGTAGATACTATTGTATCTAGAGCAGATATTATTTTGCTAAACATTGGAATTTCTATAAACACCCATAACAGTGCATTATAATTAGCAAATAGAACTACACTGTAAGAATGGCTATTTGTACAACTTTTCTGACACTATCATACTGATATACAGTAGCCAAGTCAGCTACACACAAAAAAGAAGCCATCTTATAGCCCCATCTAGTGCTTCAGTGCAAGCATTTCACCATAAATATTACATTAATACCAAACATGTTCAAAACTGGTAATGCTCCAGGTAATTAAAAGAATTTACTGTACCTATATTATCCTTTGGTCTTTTTAATCCAATGTGCTCCCCTCAAAAAAAGTGACTCCTTTTCGAGCAATGATGGAGCAGACTTGATCATGTCAGAAGAGCTCAGAAGTAGATCATAAGTCAGGCAGAGCCATTTTTAAAGGGGTATGTCCCATTGGTTGCCAAACAAAATAGTAACTGGTGGTGTAGAGTGTGTGGATGTGAGCCTTTTGCGTAGGGCCATTCCAAGTGTTCATTCTGCTCCCAACACTCAAATAGCTCATTCAGGATAGGACACAGGAATTAGACAAACAATCTAAATCTACATTCTGGCTTTCTTTGTTGCTAGAGATGCAATGAGGGGGCAGAGGAGGAGGGAGCAGAGTTGTAGTGACTGTGCAGATGTTCCATGAGTCAACTGGTCTGCACAAGGCAGACAAACAGAATGGCTCAGTGGGGCCTCGAGCCACACACTGGGCAATGAG